TCACCTCTGCAGCTAGGGAGTGAGCCCTTGCAACGCCTGCTCAGTGACAATGGCATTAATAGAGTGTCCCTCATGACCCCCGATACATCCCCCGCAGGTGCCCCACTCAGTGGCGTGGGCCGTCGCACATCAGTCCTCTTCAAGAAGGCCAAGAACGGGGTTAAACTACAGAGGAGCCCAGACAGGGCCCTGGAGAACGGCGAGGACCATGGCGCAGTGGGCTCTCCTGCATCTCCCACCAGCATCGAGGATGAACAGCACTCCCGGAAGCGGCCGAGGAGCAGGAGCTGTAGTGAGAGCGAAGGGGAGAGGTCCCCCCAGCAGGGGGAAGAGACAGGTGACCTCGCCTGTGACTTCTCTCGCTACTTCTCATCTGCTTTCCTGCTTTGCCTTGCCAGCCGGCACCTTCCCCAGTCAGCTGCCTCCCCTGTGGATGGCCCCTGTGGATGCCAGTAGTAGCACTGAGGGCTCCGTAGTGCACAGTTGGGCCTGGTACATGAGTAGTGGCCTGGGGAAATAGGCTTTGAGCAAGTGTTTTGAGAGGGCCAGCTTGTGTCTGGGGCTCTCTTTGGCCCTGAGCAGCGTATAAAGCTATATATGATAAAATGGTTCCTACTTTCATTTTCGTTCATTTATTCATCAGATATTTATATCAGGCATTATTGTAGGCACTAAAGTGTAGGAGGAAAAATCAATAAATAAAACAGACAAGTCTCCTCTCTTGTAGGGGAGGTAGACTAAAAGCAAATAAATAAATTGTATCGCATATTAGAAGCTGTGGAGAAAAGTCCCGCAGGGAAGGGGGGGAGAGGGGATGCTGAGGTGATATTAAAGAGGGTGGCTAGGGGAGGCTTTCTGAGTAAAGATCTGAAGGAGCTGAGGGTGTGAGCTCTTTGGGTATCGGGGAAAAGATTTTCCAAAAAGATGGACTAGCAAGTGCACAGGCCATGGGGGTGGAAACATGCTTGCATGTCTGAGGAACAGTGAGGGGACCTATGTGGCCACAGCAGAGTGAGCCAAGGGATCATAGGAGATGCGGTCTCAGAGGTAGTAATAGGGGCTTGTCACTAAAGAGTCCTTACTGCATGTCCAACACAAGCTGGTCACTGGGGAGCAGTAAATCAGACCCAGGTCCAAATTACCATCCAGTGGGGAGACTAGATGGTGTCCTGAGGTGTAGAGATACCCCAGTGCTGGACAGTCTGTGGTTATGTGTCAGGTGACAGCACTGCTAGAGGTTCAGGGAATAGGAACTGGGGGAGTTGGGAAGGCTTCATGAGTAGACAGTGCCTAAGCTGGCCTAGGGGATGAGGACAGACTAGAAAGGAACAAAGGGCTCAGGCCCAGGTGTGTAGAAACAAGGTCAGAGTCCCTGTGAGGGACAGTTTGGAGAGGGGCTTCCCTCTCCAAAGCGAAGAGGGGCATCAGGAGCCAATGCTGTGGGCAAGGTGGACCTGGACATGCAGGGCCCCCATCACCAGACAGTTGTTTAGTCTTGGTGGGATATGGAAGGCCAGCTCACTTGGCAGGGAGGGGCCTGCTCTTGGCTCTTGCTCCTCATGTCCTGTTACATGGTGGCTTTGGGCTGTGTGGTCAGCACATGCTTTTCTCTGCTTTTCTGTCTTCCTACCTAATACTTTGTTTCCAGCAGTACCTTCCTTTCCTGTCTGGTCCAAGCTTCCCTGTATTAGGGCAGTAGGGTGTTTATATAGAGTCAAGAGCTTGAGGCAGACTTGAATTCAAATCCCATCTTCTTACTAGCTGTGTATCCTGGGGCGTATGAATTAACCTCTGTGAGCCTATTCCTTATTTCTACTATGGGGCTAGTGACACCTTCCTTGTGTGGCTCTAAGGATTGGAAGTAGCCTATATAAAGCACTTGGTATATAGCAGTAGTTGGTAGCAGTTATTGTTGTCATCCTGTCAGTTATATCAGGCACAGCCAAACAGCACTGAGCACTAAAAATGAAAAATCCTGCTGTTGGGAAATAGGTCTAGACATCAGGCTCATCCAACCTGAGGGGGCCCACCGCTTGGGGGCTAGAATCTGTTTCTCCTCCACCATCCCAGCTACCTGGTACCCAGGAATATTTTTGCACAACTTTAGTGGGTTCTCTTAAAAGCAGGTGTTGATCCTTTATAGATGAGGCACAGTAGGCTTTGGTGATTTAAATTGAGGTCATGATGTTAGAGGCAGAGCCAGGTTAGGGTCCAGATATGTTGGCTCAGACACCTGCTCTTACAGGTGTGACTTGCCTCACAGTTTTCTGGCTAAGGTATATGTGACTTAGAGCTCTTGGCTCAGCTGTCAGACTTGTGGGATTCTGGATGGTGGTTGGGAATTGGGTAGATAGAGAGGAGAGTTGAAGCTTTGATGGCAGGTGAGAGTCTTGTCCCTGGGATGACCAGACAGTCTTCATTTGCCTCTGAAGGGCTCCCTGCTGTAAACAGACCTTCTCTCATTCATACTTAATAGCATCCTCCATAAGTAAGAAGGTATTACCTTCACTTCACGAAAGTAGAAGCCAAGGCTTAAAGAGGAAAAGGGACCCATATTTCAGAGCCCAGTCTAGAACCCAGGGAATCTGACTCCCCATCATCCCAGGAAGGTCTGGTCTGCCTTAGATCTGCTGAAAAGTTCCCCCCATCCTCAACTTTAACTAGCTCTGCTAGATATCTCAGGGTGTGGTTGACACAGTCCTTATCCGGCTCCAGCCTCCCCTGACACCATCCCAAAAGAATGAAGCTAGCTATTGCCAGCTGTGTGATGGATAGGGTGTGTGAGTGTTTATCTGAAGAGGCAAGGTGGGTGGGCTTCCCAAGAGGCAGAGGAGACTCCCTGATAATTGAGGCTTGAAATTAGAAGCAGATCCAGGGACTTGTGAACAAGCCGGAGTGAGGAAGTCTTGGTATTTCCCATTGTAGTCAAATGACAGTAACTGGAATGAGCTATAGGCTATTTTCCTTCAAGTAAACCCAGAAGGATGGGACGGTAAATGCAGTGTCTGTTCACTGCCCTAGCCAACATTTCCCCCAAACCTTTATCAGGTTCTCTCCACCACCCAAGACCCATTTCCCAAGAGGAGGGACCAGCCATCCTCTCCATCCCTCCCTGCTGAGCCCTCCCAAGGTGGCTGCCTCACACTGCAGCATGTGTCGGGGAAGGGGGTTTCTACACTCAGGCTCACTTTGTGTGTTCTTGGCAGGTGTGACCAACGGCTTTGGAAAACACACTGAAAGCGGGTCTGACTCAGAATGTAGTTTGGGTCTCAGTGGTGGACTGGCATTTGAAGCTTGCAGGTAAGAACACTTGTCCCAAAGCCGTGTTTGCAGCTCTGCCACCTCTCCATTTATTTTCCTTTCAGCTGCAGATTGAACCTCCTCCTGCTTATCTCAGTTTTTTTCTTCCCGCACCCCTGTTATTTCCTGAAGCCTCTCATCTGTGACTCTGGTAGCTCCTAGGAAACGTTGTGACCCTTGACTGTCAGGCCTGATCTGACTAGGGGGGAGTAGTGCTGATGCTTTATAGGGTTTGTAGACCTGAATTTGGCTCCAGAGGGTGGGGACACCCTCTGTATTGCCCAGTGAAGTTAACATTTGAGCCAATCCCCACCCACCCCCTGGCCCATTTAGATAACCCAGTTATAGACATGGTTTCACCCTTTGCCTTTCAGGGCATCATAGCAGTGGTGTAGGAATAAGAAATGGACAGATAGGAAATTTGGAATTGCCTTTTAGTCTGACAAAGGCCCCAGCTCTTCTACCATCTTTGAGCTGGGAAGGGATGGGTTTCTTTTCCCATTCTTTCACCTGAAGGGAGGATTTCCGAGGCCAGAACCTTCAACTTTCTTCCACGACTAAGAGTTTATTGAATCTCTCTGCTCTGTGTTGTATGCTCTGCAAGACACCAGGGAGTGTGGGTCTCTTGGAAATGGGAGACCTTCAGTGCCACAGAAGAAGAATGACTTGTCCTGAAGGCTGACCTCATGGTCCCTCCACATGGCTACTGGATGGATTCTGGGTTCAGAGCAGGGGAGGAGAGGTCCCAGGGCAGCACCAAAATACTATGTGTCTGTGTTTGAAGTGCTTCAAAGGCAGGCTGGGTGTAGGTTCTATTGGGTTCTCACTCTACACTGGTGCTGGGCTCTTGGAGGCCCCCAGATGCCCCCTTGGGCCTGGACTGCTCCCGCGCTGTAGCAGGGCCCAGCTTTCAGTGGCTCCTTAGAGATATTCTTCCCCACCAAGCCTCAGAAATGTCCTAGCTGTCTCCCTCCATGTTACAGCTCTAGAGATATAGGAGGAGTGGATGGGAAAACACAGTTACCAGGCATAGAGAAGAGGCAGAGATTTCAAAATCATACAGGATGCTTCTAGCCCGGTCCCGGGTTGGAGTTCCTGACTCCCTTCAAAGATAAGGTGCCTGGAAACCCAGTTCACTGGGGTGGGGTAGGAGTGGGGTTATCAAACTGTCCCCTCTTAGTCCTTGACTAAAGGTAGAAGGTATGTTCGGCCCCTCCCTCCACAAAGGGTGCTCTTCCCAGCTGTGAGCCGCAAGGAGCAAGCCAGGCCAGGCTCTGGTTAGCCTGCCCGTTCAGACTGCTTGCCTTTCTGCGGGACATGCCAAAGCCACCAGTTTCTCTGGGGCCCTGCTCAGTGTGGGAACAATGCCCTTGGAAGGCGTTTCCTCGTTAGCTCAGTGGTTCTCAGTAGAATTTTGCGGTTTACAACAGGAGTTTCAGGCCTTCAACTACAGGGATTTTTTTCTTTTTCTTTCTTTTCTTTTTTCCTACATTGTGGGGGTAAGTACATAAAGGAAGATCTTATTAATTAGACTAGAATCATATAATCGCAGAATAAAGAACCTTGAAAGAATTTCTGGTCACTAATCCCATCCCCTTCCCATCCTGTCCCTGGGTTTATCTTTTCTAATGATTTTCTGAGCAGTTTGGAGCTGCACCCTCTTCTTTGGGTCACTCATTCAATTATTAATTAAGCACTTACCGTGAGCCAGGTACTGTTCTAAGCCCTGATAAGGTGTCTGTTCTCAAGGAGCTTATCATCTAGAAGGGAGAGATAAATGTTAAGCCAGTAAGCAAAATAATTATTGATTGCGCTGTCTGCTTAGACCTGGGTAACTTAGAGAGAGGGCTGAAATGCAGGCCATGATCGAGTCACTTGTGCGTTTTTCTATGAAACAGGAACATATGGACCTAGTTTTGGTGTTGCATCCTGTCTCATTGAGCTCAACCTTCTCAGAGCTCATCATCTGATAGTATAACATTGGTAGTTTATAATATTCAAGTGAGACTTTAAAATTTACTGCCGTTTATATAATAATATTTACTATATAACTTCTATTTATTGAATACTTGGTGTGTTCTGTACTGAGTGCTTGCTGTGTATTAATCCATTAAATCCTCACAGCAACACATGGGGAACACAAGCCTCAGAGAGGTTAACTTGCTCAGGGTCACAGAATGAATGAGTAGCACAGAGTGAGGTTCTGAACCCAGGTAGTCTGGCTCCAGAGTTTCTCTCTTAACTGCTTGGTTGTGCCCTCCTATGTTGTATTTGGAGATGTCTCCCCAGATCCATGATGTGAACTTGGAGAGGCTTTCATAATAGAACTACCAGTACCTTACATTTTTATAAGGACTCAGATTCTTTAAGTCCAGTGACAGATTTTTGTAGGGTGCATGGGAACTGAATTCTGAATGTGAACTGGGTGTTGTTTTTTCCCCAACAGGTCCTAATTTTGACTAGCAGGAAGAAAGCTCCCAACCTACTACTAACTGAAGGATTATGATTCATCAGGTTCTCATTGTGCCAGGTTTTCTGTATAAGACCATGATAAAGTCAGTTATGATTCAGTAACGCAGGAGTACCCTACTCTCCAACCAGTCTTAACCCTGGCCTCTTCGTATCCCATTAGGAGCTTCTTAAGCATTTTTGCTCTACTGCAGGTTGTTGACTTGTCTTTTAAGCAATTTTTTTTGTTGAAATAATTATACAGCAGTAATATTTTTTAAAGTTTGAATGGGAAAAAACCATAGCCACATCATTCTTGCCGAGAGCTTCTAACTGTGATTGTACATTAGAATTGCTTTGGGAGCAACTTAAAAATACTGATGCCTGGGTGGGTTCCAGTTATACCATTATTCTTGTATTACTGTTCTCATTTTTGCCTATTATCTTCTAGTCTTTGTCTACTATATATTTTTTATCTCTTTGCAGTAGCCATATTTTAAAAAAACTGGTCTGCTTGGTAGTTTAAAAAAATCCATCTCTGTCTAAGAAAAACGTCACACACATAAAGTAGAAGTGAGAAGCGGATTGTTTTTCCAATTTAAAAAGTCTTTTCTAATTAAGGAAGTAAGGCATGTCCATTATAGAAAATTTGGGAAAGAGGCAGATTTTTGTACCTCAAAAATAAATTGGTTTCTAGAGAAGCAATGTGAACCAGAGAGTTAAGAATTCTGGGCAGATGTGAGACAGGCCCTCCTCATGGCCAGGCTGCTTAGACTCTGGAAGGATTGACAAGTGCCTGGGTGACCTTCCCTCTGGATGAAATCCAGTGTCCCTGGGCAGGGGAGCAGGCCTCTCTTTCCAAGTTCAGTCCTTCCACATGGATGAAATGTTTCCTTAAGCCTCGTGGGAACATTCTGGTCAGAAGTATATCACGGGTTAATATGAGTTTTTAGGGGAAGGTGAGAAACCATTCTCCTTGAAGGGTTTTTGCAGCTCTGCTCCTAGCAGAGATGGGAGAGCAGGAGTGGATGTGTTACTCATTGAAATTGTTCATTTTGCTCCTCTCTCCCTCCCTGCTCTATATGCAGTGGTCTGACACCCCCCAAACGCAGCCGAGGGAAGCCAGCCCTGTCTCGAGTGCCCTTCCTGGAAGGTGTGAATGGAGACTCTGACTACAACGGCTCAGGTGAGGAGTGCTGTACAGGTGCATCTTGGGGGACCAGGCCTTCCAGAGAACCAGTTCTGCGGGCTGCAGCCAGACCCTGAGCTTCTCCGAACCTGGGGGCACTCGTCAGGGAAATGGCCCTTCCTCCCAGGTCATTCATACTCCTTTTACTTTTTTTTTAATTCATCTTATTTTGAATAAGTAACACATACCATGGTGACAAAAATCAGAAATGTACAAAAGGGTGCATAATGAAAAGCCAGTTCTCCCCTCCCTAGAATAGCCATTGTTAGCGGTTTCTTTTGTGTCTTTCCAGATGTAATCCATACGTACACAAACCAAAAACTTGTGTGTATATTTAAAAGAGTGAGCAGAGAAGCCTAACATGCACATTCCTCTAAACTATGCCTTTTTTCAGTTAATAATATATCTTGGAGATTCTTTTGTGCTTTTTATTGGCTGCCTAATATCCCATTACATAGGTGTGCTATCATTTACTTAGCTGGCCCTCTGCAGATGGACGTTTAAATTGTTTTTGTTTAATTGTCATAGTCAATGTTGCAGTGGGCAACCTTGTACAAAGATCATTTTGTATCCCTGGGGAGTATATCTATAGATATACTCTATTGCTGTATTGGAGGAAGTATGCATTTGTAATTTTGATAGATATTTCCAGTCTGCCCTCACAGGAGTAATATGATATCCTGTGTCACTGAATTTCACACATAACCCTGTAATTTCATGTGATCCAATGCTTCTACTCCCTACTGGGGTAAAATGGAGACATTCTACTCCAGCAGGTCCAAACAGTAAAACACATGGATCTTATCTCCTCTGACTGAAGGAATAAAGGACAGGGCAGAGCCAAAGGAGAGGACTGGGTGGTGCTTAGGTGGAACAGGTGCAGGGCTGGCTGTTCTCTGAGCACACCTCTGTCCAGCCCTCCTATGGGGGGTGTGCACTCTGGATGCCCTGTCTTTGAAGCTTCCATCTAACACTCAGCCTTCAGGGCTTCTCTTCCCCTCTTTCCTTTTCCCAACTGCTTTATTTTCCCTTAGCATCAGTTTCTTTTTCATATGTGTGTTGATGAATGCATGCCTGCATGTTTCATTACTGTCTGACTGTCAGTGCCCAGAAGGCAGGGCTTATGTCTAGGTTAATTTGTACAGCATCTAGTGCAGAACTGGGAGCGGATTGGCACGTACTTTGTGCTTCTGGTGGTGACATTTTATTCTTATTTTTAAAACCACGTAATTATTAAAATGATGCCAAAGGAAATTTAAAAAGGAAACTGACCTTCCACTGTTCCATCACCTTAACACAATTGCCTTCATTTCTCTATGTTGCCTTCTATTTATTTCAGGCACGTTTTTCACAAAATGCTAATCCAAAACACATGCTCTTTCATATTCTGCTTTTTTCAATGTTATCTTCCAATCAATGCATTATAATTTACTTGTTTCATTGTTAGAATTTGGTTATTTTCAAATTTTAACATTATACATAAGGTAGTGAACCCATATTTTTGTTCAAAAGCCTCTTATTCATTTTAAAAGTTATTTTTCTAAGAACAAATTCCCAGGGAAGGAATTTACTGGAGTAGATTGTTCATACTTTTTTTTAAATGGCTCTTGAGACTTACTGCCAAATTATATTCTGAAAGGATTAGACTGGTCTGCAATTTCCTCAGCAGTATATGATTGCACCAGTTTCCCCACAGCCTGCCTCTTCAGTAATGGATTTTGTCTTTTTGTTGTTATTGCTATTGATTTAATAGACAGAAAACAAGACCTCATTATCAGGAATATACTTTATAAAAAAATTATATATGTAGATGGTAATGTTTCCTTAGGAACATGATTTCTACTCTGTGGAATTGGATCTTTTCCTTAGTTGAGTGTGGTCACCTCCCTGTTGCCAGCTTATAGACTGGGGAGGGGAAGGGACATTCCTCTGTGTATTCAGAGACATTTGTGAAGTACCCATCCACGTGTGCTAATGCATTAGGTGCAGAACAAAGTAAACCGAAGAGATGTGGTGCCTGCCCCAGGCAGGACACCCTGTGTAAGGTTCTGACAAAACTGGCAAGAAAAGAATCTGCAGACCTGCTTGGCTCTGCTGAGTGCTGTGCAGCCAGGTGTCCTGGATAGCCAGGTATGGCCCTGTCAGAAAAGAACTCATTTAGCAAATAGTTTTACTGGGATATCCATCCCAGGCATCTTTTTCCATGAAGCCTCCATCATGAGGCCCACCAGTCAGGGAGGCCCAGAGAGCAGTTTGTGGCTTTGCCAAGATGCATTATAGTCCTTCTTCCTGGTGTCCTGGTGATGAAGCAGTTATATTTTTCCAAGGAACATCAACCTAGGGTTCTAGTTCAGAGGTCAGCAAACTGTAACCTGTTGCCTGTTTTTGTAGGGCCCACGAGCTAAGAACGTTTTTTACATTTTCAAATGATTGAAAATCAAGCGAAGAATGACATTTTGTAACACGTAAAAATTACACAAAATTCAGATTTCAGTGTCCAGAAATAAAGTTTTATGGGGATACAGCAGTGCTTGTTCATTTACCAATCGTCTATGGCTGCTCTCATGCTACAATAGTAGAGTTGAGTAGTTGCAATGGAGACTGCAAAACCTAAAATACTTACTATTTGGCCTTTTAAAGAACAAGTTTGCCGTCTCCTGATCTAGTCTTAAGAACTAAGGAGAGGGTAGGGAAGAGGAAGGGTGGAGGGGATGTTGCTGACTCATTCCTGGGCTGCCCCAGTCAAATGGAGGCCCCGGGCAGGCCTCCTGGGCACCATTCCATGCCCCCTTGGGCACTGTCTCCTCCCCTCCCCCACCCCCAGGCAGAAGCCTCCTGATGCCCTTTGAAGACCGTGGAGACCTGGAGCCCCTGGAGCTGGTGTGGGCCAAGTGCCGAGGTTATCCCTCCTACCCCGCCTTGGTGAGTCTGCCTGATCCTCCTCCCTCCTATGGGTGGTCTGGCCCCTGCCTTGCCTTGGGGGCTTATCTGATTGGATCAAGCCAGAAGAGTGTGATTGGGAGTCAGGGTACCTTTAGCTGCAGAAGGGAGGGAGGTTTTATCCCAGCCTGGGTGGGTCACACCAGCTAGACTCCCTGCTTAGGGCTCTTAAAATAGGTTAAA